ATATATATATATATATATATATATATATATATATATATATATATATAGTTACCAATCAGCCTAACATGCATGTTTTTGATCTGTGGGAGGAAAGCAGAGTACCCGGGGAAAACCCACGCATGCACAGAGAGAACATGCAAATTCCACCCAGAAAACCCCCTGGACCGTGCTGCCCCAAGAGAAACTCAAAGACAAAAACGGAAAAGCACAAATTACGTGAACCAGATGTTAAGATCAGACCACAATCACTGAACATCAACTTCAGTCCCTCCTCCTAATGGCACCAGAAACTGTCACAAAACTGAACTCTGGGATGAACTGAACTGGCCACTGATGACAACATATTTGTCCACTGAGTGGAGCCACAGAGCGTCTCAACAGAAAGTTTCCCAAACAGGCGGCGGCTGTTAATGGGATTTGCTTTATATCAGGCTGTTTTAATGGATGTTGCATGTAACAGATGCAGTCTGTGGTCTGGTATTATCTTGATGAAAAAAAATGCAAGGTCTTCCCTGAAAAAGACATCTGAGTGGGAGCAGATGTTCTAAAACCTGTGGATACCTGTCTGCATTGATGCTGCCCATGTAAATGGACTGTACTTATATATATATATATATCACCTTTTTATGTTATCAAGACACTCAAAGCTCTTTACATTACAATCTGTGCCTCATTTACCCATTCATACAGCACTCTACCAGATCTCTACAAAGCTAATTGACGACTGCTCCAACTACTCAGCCATAACCACCCCAATGTGCACTAATGCACCCCCACACCATCAGAGGCAGATTTTTAAACTGTAACAGGCTGTTTGGTCCCTCTCCTCTTTGCTATGGAGGACATGGTGTTCGTGGGTTCCAAAAATAATGTCAGAATTGGATTCCTCTGACCTCAGAACAGTTCTCCACTTTACAAGTTCAAATTAAACCAATGCAGGCATGTTCCTGTTTTTAGTATTCTACATTGCTTTACAATCTAGCTGTTTTGTTTAGTTTTAATACTTTTTTTCATTTGTTCTTCTCAATTTATAAGTTTTCTTTTATGATTGTCCACTGTTGTCTTTGTCCACTGTTGTCATCATTCTTTGTTTAAATCAGGTCTCTCTTGTAAATGAGTCCCCGAGGCTCAATGTTTAAATAAGGGTTGAATGAAAAAGTTCAAGTTCAAGTAGGTTTATTGT